CAAATTTAGTGCAGAGCCCAGCCTTATGCATCCAAGTTGGAAAGTTGCTTTTCCTTATGTGCATCACTTAGCATTTGTCTACATATGATTTTATGTACCACGTTATTACTAAATTACTTAGTAGCACACACAGGCACACAAATACACTCAATATGCACATACATATATGTATGTGTGCATTAAGGGCACTGTTGCATATATTTTAGACAAACACACACTTATTTAAAAGTTGTTGCTTCTGTATTTAATTCCTCTATCTGCCAATTTCTGGAATTCAGTCCCCATCTCTGTTTTGTATTTTTATTATAAGCTTTACCCATTTCCTTTTCTTGGCTTTGCAGGGGTTTTTTTTCTAACTGTGACTTAGGGCCTAGAGTTTCATTTTTTATTTTCAATAGTGGTTTTTTTCAACTTATTCTAGTTTTCTGTTCTCCTGGGATTCCAAACTACTTCTGCGTATCAGAACCACCTTACTAACAACTTTTCCCCTCCCCTCTAAAAATATAAATACTTTGGGTAAATAACGTTTCATAAGTAACTTACAGTATTTCCCTAAAAACAGCGTTTCTCCTTTTTGGGTATGCTGAACCAAACAATCGGCTCAGACACTGGATATATATTGCCTGCAGCGCCTATGGACAACCAAAGCAGATCCACTGATTTCAGTGATGTACATTTGTTTACCAACATAACATCTGGCTTTATAAATTCTCTTTGATTCTGTATTAAAATTTTCAGGGAGAAGGAGTTTAAAATCCCGGCTGCAGAAAATCTCCCATTTTCCACCCCACCAAACCTCATCAAAACCCCAAACGCTATCATCGCTGTCCCGAGAAGCTAGCCCCTGCTGAGTCCCCTGCGGATTTCTGCACCTCGCAGTTCAACTCAACTCCCTGAGGGCCACAGTCTGCTTTTCCCCATTTCACGATGCTCGGTGATATTAAAATAAGCGGACAACGAGAAGAAGGGTAGCATCTCCCCCGACAGGACCTCCTCTGCACTTTCAAAGCTAACAAAGTTGCCACTAATTAAGCCAAAAAGGAAGTGATCCACAAGCAGAAGATGGCAAATTCCCCGACCCAAGAGACAGCAGCCTTAGCTGAGCCACCAACCCGCAGCTCACCCTGCAGCCATGAGACATGAGCTCCTCGGCTCTGGAGAGAGCACGGCTTCCCCTGGGAGCAGAACAAGGAGCCTCAAGGTACCGCTGCAATTCACAGGAGCAACTGCGGCTCACCAACACCCTGCAAAGCTGTCCTGTCACCAAACACAGCCACAGCAGGGACCCCAGCTTGGAGCACAGCCTGCAAAAACAGGTTTGCCAATGATTCAAGAAATGTAATCTAGCTTCTCCTCTATCTTTGATAATCAACTTATACCTCCTGTAAGCCCTGCTGCTGAGGCCAGTGCAGCCATCACTGACCACAGCTGAGGTGAGGTCAGACCTGGAGTTGGCTCAGTTAAACGTCTCCGACTCAAACAGTAAAAACTCAACCCCCTCTAGCTCCTGCTTTCCCTCTCTCTTGGATTTGGGTAAGCCAAAAGGCCCCCTGGCCGGCCATGGTGAGAGGCGTGTCTGAGCGATGCACGGCTGAACACCAGGGACCGTATGCTGCTGGTCAGCAGGAGGGCAAAACACTTCAGTGATGAACAAAACACAACGCCCCAATTTACTGATGAACGACCCCGCTGCTGCCAAGCATACCCGAGGGGAGAAGCAGCTCAGTACCCAGCATCTTTCTTGGCAGATTACCACCGCACTGATCAATTGCTTCTCAATTATGTGCATCCTCATACTCCAGACAGTAGGTCCCAGCTTCTTTGCTGAGATTGTTTACATTTACATAATGAAAGCACAAAACACAAAACCTTCCAGTTCCTCCGTGTACCCGCAGCATGTCACAACCAATTAATAAATTCTAGATGGGAGGAATTAAAAGTGACATCTCTGGAAAAAAATGTTACCCTAATTTACCATCAAAGAGCAATCTACAACAAAACCGAACAGCTGAACCACAACTGCAGACGCCTTTAACCCTTCTGGAGCCGGCTTATTTGCCCAACGGTCCTGTATGGTACAGCGTCCCCAGGAAGAGTGCTTCAAGCACTTTACTCATCATACTCAAAACCAGACCGGATAAAATAGTAAAAGATACCTCCTCTGAGCAATCTCGTACCAGCTGCAAGGCTGGACTGATCTCCTAAAAAGCCTTTTATCAGGATGCTCATATTCCCACCCATGTGCCTCAGGCTTCTCACCAAACACTGCTGCAAAACGGGAAGTGCAGCCCCAGAACCCCTTTTGGGCACAGTGTGCAATAGGGTAAGAAAAATAAATAACCTGAATATCCCCAAAAGTGTCAGCCTCCCTATCCACATTAAGGGCAAACGATGACACAGAATAAGCCTTTTCCATGATTTAGCTGAGCGCTATTTCCAGGGACACATGAGTCCTGCTACAATTTAAACCTCAAGGGACAAATGCAAGTGAAATCACAAATCCCCACAACTCTATTGTAAAGCCTCCTTTTGATTAAAAGCAGGTGCTGGCTTTGGCAGGCTGCAGATGCAGTCAGTGCTACTTCACCTCTCCTGGCAGAAGATGAAGGAGGCAGAAACAAGGAGCAACAATTTCTATAGAATATAAGCGCTGTGTAAGTTAAAATTTAAATTCAAAAAAAAGGAGGGAGGGAGAGACAGAGGAAAAAGCAAACACAAAGAAATAATTCTGCTGAATGGATGAAATACTTATCGTCTTGTCCTGGCTGAGGATTGACTTACTACAAGAAAAACACTTCAAACACTCCATTTATGCCCTTGTTTGAATGTTGACTGGATTTGTCCTGTGGTTCAAAATGAGATATACCATTCACAGACCTAGGATAGTCTTAATATACATCTCAAAACTGGGTTCAAAGTAAAATGCAAATGGGAGGGAGATTTTTGAGACTGACTTAGAACTGAACTAACCGAAATATCCCAAATCTGTCCAATTTCTGGAGGCCAGAAGGACAGGAAAAGGGATGATGTCCTGTATCAGATCAGCAAAGCCAAACCTGACCTTGCAGTTTAATTTCTAGGTCAGATCTATAAACTAGAGGAAACTGGAAATGAAAATACCACATTAAATTTACTCTCCAGCTAGGCTAAAGATAACCACTGATTTGAGAGCCCTTCTCCTGTTTGGAGAGGCAAGCATCCCAACAGGCTCACGCTGCTCGCCAACTGCAGTTTTCAACAGGGGTAGCTGGAGAACAAGCGATAAAAATTAAGAAAAACACAAGAGCCATAAAAGCAGGTGAAAGGTCCACCTAGCCCGGCACAGTGTCCCTGAGCGCGGCCATTAGCAAATGCCCAGAAGTGAGGTGGAGGAAGAGGGCCAGTGATGCCACTGAGCACATTCACGATGTGACAAGCTGCAGGGCTGCGATTCCCGAGCCCGAAGCTGCGCCGGGCCGGGCAGCTGCTGATAGGGAACACTCCTTCACGTCTGTCCGACTGCCTGAGGACTCCGGTTACATGTCTGACTTTCAAAAACATGGTATTAGTCAACATACATGTAGCATTGCCCATAATACTGCAAATGTCATATAATATATATAGTATTAATGATGTTAAAAAGTCTTTCCTTTTCACCTTCTCTTTCTGCCTGGTGCCTGCTAACCGCTGACCGCCCACGTTACGTTAGCAGGCACGACGAGGTCCTCGTTCCTGCTCACTTCCTACAAACTGCCCGTGACTTTTCATGCTCTTACCACATTACGCACTCCCCCCTCATTTTCAACTGAAGAGTCCTGGTCCACCTGACTGCAAGATTCCTGCAAGTCTTTGATGCTCATTTTTAATTTGGTTATCATTAATAATTCTGTATCATCAGCAGACTTTGTCATTTTACTATTCATCCTTTTCTCCAAATAATTTATTAGGAACTCCACTGAAATTCGCCTTCCCTTTGTTCCCTGTCTTTCAACCAGTCATTAATCCAGAAAACAACCACTCCTTATTCTTTAACAGCTTCTTTTCTTTAAGAACTTCAGTGAGGGACCTTTTCCAAAGCCTTTAAGACACTGAAGGTACTGTGACAACTTACTCACATGATCACTGGCTCCTGGAAATACCTCCACTAGATTTATGAGGCATGACTCTTCTCTTAAGAAAGCCGCACTGACGCCTCTCTTGTATCTGCCTACCTGCCTGTCATTCTGCTCTTTAGCAAAGTTTCACCCAGGAAGTCTGTTTTTAAAGTCGGATTGCTGATCTGCTCTCTGAAGCCCTCCAGGAGTCTTTAAAAAAAAAAAAGTCATCATGTTTTCTACCTTTCATTTCTCTGGCACCAATGCCAGTTTAAGCATCAGGTCACACCTCACTGCTAGTCACTTGACAGTTTTATATCCCAGTTTCTTTAAAATTCTTGGATAAATATTATCTGGAAAGACTTATAAGTGATAGTCCCTTGTACAGATTTGCTCTGCAACATCTAATGACAATTCAGTTGGATAAGGTTCCTCAGGCTGGTAACACCACCACACCCACCCCCCCCCCACCCACCCAAGAAAATCTCTAGAGTCTAAGCTTCCATAACGAGTACCAAGCTAAAGAAGCCAGTTGGCCTTTGGCTGTCACCTCGTAGCCTTTTTGCACCTCACCCACCTATCCCCCTCCACACCCTGTGGCAGGTTTCTTCCTTGTGAATTTGGATAAGTTTTTGTTAATGTCTTTAGCAAGTTGCCTCTGAGAATTTTATTTGGCCTGCCTTACTATGGTTTTACATTTTCACCATCCAGAGTCCAAACTCCTCTCTAGTTTCCTCATTAAGATGTGATGTGTACTTCTTAGAAAGTCTTATTACCTTTCTCTGCTTTTTAAAAATGTCAGCTTTTTTGTACCTCTTTAGACTTTGGGGGGGCCACAGTTGCGTAGAAGTCTACAATAAGCTTCTTTTTCAGGCTAAAATACAAGGATGGATCCTCACTGAACAGAACTCTCCATTGCTGCTTTACCTTTTTAAAGAGCCTGATGACATCCTCACTAATCTGCGACAGCCGGACGATGACATTGTTCATGAAGATGTCATTCAGGGTGGCGTGATCTCTGCTCTCTCGCCGGGTCTGCGTCAGAACCAGGTACCAGCAGTTCACAGGGGAAAGTAGGTGCTGATCTTTCCTAGGGAAATGTAAAAAAAAAAATAAAATAAAAAAAAAATCGAAAAGGTCAAGTGAACAAATCAAAAAGGCATGCAATTTTCAAATGAATGTTGTCAGCATATTAATGTTGCCTTCCTCCACCACATATATCCACTAGAATCCGCCGCACACCCAGAGAAAAGTGTGTGAGCTCCTCTTGGCTGCCTCCCCTCCCCAGAAACCGCTGCAGCATCCAGCCAAGCACCTGACGGCCCCTCAGCGCAGCAGTCGAAGAGCCAGTCCGCCTCTCCGGCACACGGCTGCGAGCACGACGGCCTCCTCCTGCCGGACTGCTCCCGACAGCGCCGTCCCCACCGTCCTGCGGGGAGGACACCCAGCCGCAGCATCTCCTGCTGCTGCCACCCCTCGCCTCCCCCTCCCCAGGGCCACAGTCGCCTGGGGCAGCGGCACAGCTCTGCGATGGAGGCGACCGGCGCGCCACGGACTCTCCACCAAGCTCAGAGCCACGTCCTTTCGGCAGACACCACGGAGTCATCCGTGCAGGTCCGGGTACTGGCCCAGAGCTGCTGCCCCGACCGGGATGGCAGTGCCCGGCAGACACCCCGTGCTCAGACACACGGCTGCCTGCCCACTGGCTGACCACAGCGGCACCTCCTCTTTGGTGCAGGAAAGGTGCTTAAGTATCTCTGCCAACACAGAAGCTCCCAGTCTAAATATTATACATGAGGATTTAAATCAAGCCAAGGAATTCCCATTCTTTGCCCCAAGCTGCTCTCTCCCACAGCTTCATCCTTATTTACCAGCCTCCCACAGCTGCTGGTGGCAGGACAGAAGCTTTCTGTGCAGGGGAGATGGATGCTCTGATGCTGACCCTGGGCACAGCCCTGTGCTTCACTCAGTACACATATATGGATCTTTGTATACAATCTGCCCTACACAGCTTGTTTTTTCTGTCCTACCTTGACTTCTTGGGGCACTGACCCCAAGGTCAGTTAGCAATATTACAGTAACACAGTGCAGATACTCCGGGCAACAGCTCGGAAGGACCCGAAAACATGCAAGTCAGATGGAGACAAGGCAAGAGCTGGTCCCCTGCCCCAGCCGGGCTGGGAACCCATCTATGGCCCAGCTCCTGTTTCCAGGAACATCTTTCAGAGTTTCTTTTAGCTGTTCAAGTGCTTCCCCGCATCAGAGGCACATGAGCACACGTACCAAATCAGACCCCCAACCAGACCCTTCCCAAAATGGGTGCTCTGGAAGATGGTACAAGAGAAGAGACATCCCTGGCAATCCCTTCAACACTTTGCAAGGGAGATAGTTTTGCTTCTTTTTTCCACTTTGTGCTATTAATACCACTGTCACTTCCATTTCAGAAAGAGATCATTTGCCACACAATCTGTTGCACTGCATTTAGTCCACTAAACAGTGCTGGAGAAAATGTTTTGCATCCAACGTTAACACGAAGTATCTGTGCACAACATGAATACATTCATGTATGCTGAATATTTACGACGGTCTTAATCCAACTTGCACTGCAGACAACAAAGAGATTGCCGTGAGCAGCAGCAGGCATCGGGGCAGGTGACCTGAAGAGTCCCCAGGAGCCACGCAGCATCCTCAGAGCAAGCTCGTCCCCACCCGTCGCTGCTGGGCGAGACCCTGCCGAGGGGCATCCCGAGACCCTGACTCACCTGGAAGCTGGGGGGGTCAGAAAAACTCTCTTTTGAGGGAAATTTCAGCAAACATTTCACACTTGAGTAGAGCTTAACTAATTTTGACATGTTCCATCTCAACACTGAGAGAAACCTGCACTGCTTTCCAAGTACTGCTTTTAGTACTGAAGGGGCATCCTGAGACCCTGACTCACCTGGAAGCTGGGGGGGGTCAGAAAAACTCTCTTTTGAGGGAAATTTCAGCAAACATTTCACACTTGAGTAGAGCTTAACTAATTTTGACATGTTCCATCTCAATACTGAGAGAAACCTGCACTGCTTTCCAAGTACTGCTTTTAGTACTGAAGGCAAATTAATCAAAAGTGAATCAAAAATTCCAGAAATTATACAACTGAAACAAAACATTTCACATTGTCCAACTGAGACACTTTGACATAGATCCTCTAAACGAAGCAGCCAAGTGATTTGTTCCAAACGTTTCACCTACACTGTTTTCTCTGGTCAAACCAACGCTTTCCTACAAGACGTGCTGGTCCCAGAGAAATGGGCCCTTTCAGCGGAGACCTCCTCTGCCACCATCCTGCCTGGGCAGGTCTCCCCACGTGCCGACAGCCGTGCCCGATGGACCCACTCAAGCTCCAGAGGCTTCTCCCCTCCCAGCGGGGAGACACCTGCAAGCTGCCCAGGGAGTGCCCGCTGCTTTACCCTCACGGGATCCAGGTCTGCTGCACACCCAGGCTTCGCAGCCTGCACGCACCAATGGTGCTGGCAACGCAGCCATGATGGAGACGGGCTGCAGACCCCCCCTGTGCTCAAACAAGACTGTCCTTCTCAAGAAGTCCTGCAACCAGAAAGCTAGCCCACGCTCACTACAGCTACGCTGTGCAGCCGAAGCCTTCACAGACGTACTCCTCCTCACGCAAGATGTTCTCGTCCATGGTACCAGGGCTGGTGCAGCCCACCTCACCACTGAACCCGTGGAGAGGAAGGCACGGTGACTCCAGAAAATCTCTGCGTGCACATACAGACAAAACAACCACATATAAAAGCATGAATGAGTCTGTCAACCCGGAATCACCGTGAACCATCCAGCAGCAGCATCACGGCAATTACCACTATTAAGGGCCAGGCCACAGCCTGCTGCACATGGCTACACAGGGACAAAGGAAGAGCTGAAGATACCATATTTCTTAAGAGTGTCAAAAGCCTCATCAGAATAATGACATTCATGAGCAAGCTGGGGAAGCAGCGCAGATGAACCTAATAAAGGGCAGGTACAAAGCAATCTGGAAGAAAAATATATTAAGGGAGTCTCTCTCAACACAGAGACAGACAGTGAGGACTCGGCAGACGTGTGCACTGAAATCAAGCTGACCCTATTAACGCTATCAATACCATCACAAACCACCAGGCACTTGTGCCCAGCTGTTTCAGAAAGGTGGAGAATCATTGTCACCTGCAGATACTGCACAACAGCATCCTTCCAAAATTGTAAGCACAATAAGCAGTGGCAGTGCCATAATACTGCTCTCAGCTGATGGGAGAGGCATGTGCGCACACACACGACGAGCCTTCGTGGGCTCCATCTCTGAACAAGAGGACCTTCCCAAGCCCATACTGGCCAATTCCTTCCCCAGGACAGTTATCCCCGACGCATGATACAGCAGTGCCAGCCCAGCACCACACAACTGCCAAGCAACAGTCAGATGCAAAAAGAACAGATAGCATTTGAATGGCAATTCATTTTCAGCAGACTTTTGCATAAGACAACGGTAAAGCCTTGCTCACTAGAGAGACCGAGTAAACAGATTAAATGGGATTTAGTAATATGGAATAAATAGGATTTAGTAATGTAACAGCAGAAATCGCTGCTCTTGCAGCTGAAACAGGAAAAAAAATCACAAGGGGTTAGAAAAAGACTGAAAAGAGCCAGGGGCTAGCAAGGCTAAGTGCATCAGACAGGCAAAACCCTCAGTTTTCTGGGTAAGGAGCTAAACAGTGGCTGCAGTCTTTGGCCATTGAATGACACTAGTTTCATCTTGAGCAAAGGGCATAATCCCAGTTGAGAGACTATTTCATGGACACTGCTGTCAGAAGAAGAGACAGAGACAAATGCTATGGCCAGGGGAGGCAATGGTGGGGACCTTCAGCTGATGTGCTGCATGGGAAGCAGCCAGAATGAGTATCTGCCTCCATGCTGCAGGCGCTGATGCCTGATCCCCAGGACACAGACCCTGCCAGCCACAGCTCAGCGGCACCGCTCACACTGCCCAGCGAGACCCCGCGCCCCGAGAAACCACCGGGGAGAGCCAGTCATGGCAAGGAACACAACGAGCAGCACGGAGGAAAACCCGACAGCTACCAACACTGAACATCGTCCCGTGGAGCCCAGCCTGACAGCCCCGACCAGGCACACTTCAAGTGCACCCGGAGAGCAGGGACCAGCTCCTCCAACAGCGACGGGACAGTGGCGTTCACGGGAGCCGTGAAGTCATGGCCACCAACCAGCCAGTGTAATGGCACAAGCTACGTATCCTCACCACAGAACAGTCACCTCCAGACTCAAATTCTGCCTCAAGTTTGTTTCTTTTTTTATTTTTCGGATCTTTTTTGTTTTAGCCAAGCTTGAGAGTGTGGTTAAACTGAAAAGAGGCTGCTTTTGAAAACTGCACATATTCACGGATTTTACAATTTTCATCATCAGTTTCAGTTTCACACAATTCCAGCATCCAGTTCATACTTCCTATTTCAAAGCTTTGTTTCAAAATATTTCCACTATGGATTTGCCTAGCTTCAACATTGTACGGGTTTGTACACAGAAAACATACATACTTCATTTTAAAAAACTGCAATAAATTAGATTCCAGAAACTGCTTCCAAGTCTGAGCCTGTAAGCAGATCTGTGTGCAATGTGAAGCACTCTGACATCTAAGGATTGGACTACATACAGAAACCAGGGTTTATAAAATGGGCTACTATTATTTGCACAATCAAATCAGTGGCTGAATTCAAGTCTCTTAAAAAAAAAAAATAAAGGGGCTTGACTCCTTCCCCGATTCATATTTTTATTGTACTGCTCAAAGAAGTGCATAGTAAGTCTAATTTGGGCAGCACAGGTCAGTAACGCTGTGGTGAAAGTCTTGGAAGAAATATTTCTAGTTCTTTTTATGAACCCTGCACAGGGATAAGACAGACAAGGTCACCACTGATGCTGTTTAGTTCACTCCGCTTTCGGACTGTGCAGTTACAAACAAACATTTAGTGTTCGAGGCAGTCTCTGGCCCATCATTTTGCACCATTTTGCCCCTGGAAACACCTGCTTACTTGAACTGGTGCTCTCTGGAGCTGCGTATCTTGGAGGAGAATCGTTCAGCCAGTTTCTCCAGGCTCCTGGAGTACTCCAGCTCGATCTCAGCCTTCCTGCGGAAGAACTCCTGCAGGTCCTGCAGCAGTTGCAGACGCGACTCCGACTGCTGCTCCAGACATTTGAACTGCTCGACCAGCTGAGTTCGGATTTCTGCATGCACACAAGAGAGGAGAAGAAAATATGACGTCAGCAACGAACACTGGCCAGGAGGGTTGTCTTCCCTTGTCTCAGAGCAAATAGCATAGGCACTGCTAGAGCAGGCTCCCTCACAAGCGTCAGGTTTAATTCAAGGCTTGCTAAAGCCAACAGATTTTTTTTCCAAGAAAGAGATGAAGAATTTCATTCACCGGTCTCACGTTAAAACCTTGTTCTTTGTCAAAATAAACAACTGCGTCAGTACACACAGACCAACCCGAGAGCTTTTCAACTGCCTTTTTGAAACTAGAAAATGATACTTCAATTTATCTAGTACTACCTGAAATCCTGTATTCTTTGCATGTAAACTAACATACTATTTCTTGATAAATGATCGTTTGAATACTGACATAACGGGTGACAATGACCTGAAGGAAGCTGGCACTGTAAATGCATACTCCTCTCACCCACGTCCCCCCAGCGCTGCCGGGTTAACTGGCAAGTCAAACTTGTCTTTGGCTCAAAGGCTTAAAAAGTCTTTCAGACCCTCCAAACTCCAGCTCATAAAACACCACAGACTTTATCTGTTCCAGGTTTTTTTGCTTTCTCATAAGGACTTTCAGACACTGTGACAGATACACTACTACCCCCCGAAACCTTTACCGAAGAGGGGCTCTGCGATGCCCAGGGGCTGCCTGTGCAGAAGAGGGGACGGGAGCCTTGGGCAGCCTGCATCTCTGCCGCAGCATCGCCAGGGTGCCTGCTGTGTCCTACAACGAACAAGCATCCCACAAGCAGACAGACAGACCTGTTCTCCAGTGCTGACCCTTATCTAGCACTGCCCGTAACCGATAACCTCAGGCACATTGAATTCTGTTCAGCATATTCAAACTACTGGAAGACTGTTCTAATGTTTCTCTTTATGTCAGAGTTGTATTTTTTGCCTTGACCAGCCTCATTTTGAGGACACTTCTCTCCCATGGTAAAAGACCAATTGCATTTTTTCCAGCTCCCCCTTCTCACGTAACACAGCTGAGGCTGCAAATCCCTGACACGGGGCTTATCTCGGAAAGACAAGGCAAGCACCGGAGAAGGAAACGCTGCTCAGGAATTGCAGTCAGACCCTTCGTCCTCTCTGCAAGAGGAGCAGTGCAGCACCTGTGGCATGCGGTGTGACAGAAATACACATTCCAAACTGCTTCCCAAACACGGGGAAGATTTTTAGCAGCTCTTTGAACACTGCGCAGTGAGGAAGCCTGCGCAGGGAGTGGCTCTCTCTTGCAGGAACTGCAGCTGGGCTCTGTCCGTCGGGAAGGGGAGCCCCACGGGGAGGGGGCGTGCAGAGATGGAAATGGGAGGAAAAAATGAGACTATGTGGTAGAAAAAAATATTCAGAGTGAGAACAATTGGGCTGAGCAGGCTTCCCAAGGGGCAGCTGCGCAGCGGAGGCATCAGACAAGCCAGAATTACAGAGGTCGGATGGTGAAATGGGTCTGTGCGATGACTTGCCTGTTCCCAGACCCCAAGGGGAGAGCATCCCCCCCAGGCCCTCCCCACCACTGCACACCCCATCTGCAGAAAGCAGCTAGGCAGACACCTCACCTGTGAGCGGGTCCCTCCAACAACAGTGTATTACTGCATGTGCTTACCTTAAGAAACTTCGCTTTATCCCCCCCCCAAAAAAATGGTGCACAGAAATGCACTCTGTTGAGCAGACAAGGCACTTGCGCCACTTTAGTACATCCACAGAAATAGCCTTTTTAATGCCATGAACATTTTTATAAATAATCCATAATAAACAACATATTGTTACCTTTTCCTAAGGTTTGTGATTAAGCATATTTTTCTCACTTTGGTCACCTGTAGCTGATGGACCCCAACAGGATACATTTGCAAAGCACACCTAGCAAAAAAGGCAGTGGAGAAGCTCAGCAGCGGGAGCACAGCATCACGCCTGCCCCCTTCGCCGTGTGCGCACCCCCCGGGGCTCGAGCAGCACACAAAGACACTTCAGAGAGCCTCCATCCCCCACCTTGTCCCTTCCCTCTGTCCCACAGATGTGCCCATTCACTGCTGGCCTAACGCTAGTAGTAACAGCACCACCACCGATTCAACTCCCTCCCTTCTGTACTAACGTATCCTTTCCAAATCAGTGCCTAGATCCCGTCAAGCTCTGCAACCCACCAGATACAGGGTGAAGCCCCATCTCCACCTGTTCTTTGCCCAAGTACCCTACAGCCTCCTTGCATGGTCTTGCAGAACTGTGCAACCCAGAGGGCGAATCCTGCGCTCAACCAACAAAGCCTCAGGCCAGCCAGCTGCTCCCCGAGCGTGCACGCAGCACCCACAGCCTAGCGCTACAGCACCCAGTCACTCGCACCACACCTCACTGCCTGGTGACGGACCAGACCCACACCCGATCCAAGCCGACAGGCAGCTCTTAAAACATCAAGTTTGACTGATTTACAAACACCCAAACTTCTGGCCCTCTTTGGGAGGCGAGGGTAGGGGGGCAACAGAGGACACGAGAGCGAGAGCAAGAGGGGAAAGAACATGATTTTGGTGGCACCAAAGCTTACCATTTCAACTAGCATCACATCCCAGCTCAGACAGTGTCCAGGCCACAGGTCACAGCTTTCCCCTCCATCACCTTATGAGCTTACAACGCATTAACAGTTAGCTCCCAAACTCAGTGCATCACGTACGTGCACACCACCACGTACGCACACACACACACAGGAGAAATACCACTTGTGGTTATTGGAGAAGTTGTGCATCAGGGCTCACTGAAATGGGCAGCCCCAAGCTTCCTTTCCCCAGCACATCTCAGGCTCCGTTGTCAGCCAAGAGGCCCATGGACATGACAGGAGGAAGACAGATGATGGGTATTTGTGGGTGCTTGTTCAGTTCAAATGCTTCGCCATGCAGCTCACGGATTTTGCTGTGCTGCAGGACGGCAGGCTCTGGCACGCTCCTGGCAAGCCCGCGCCAGCCTGGCAGGCAGAGGAGGAAGCAGCTCCCAGGGGACTCCTCCAGCTGCCGGCGATCGCAGCGGGAACCCTGGGCGCTGCCAGCCCCGCCGGACCACGGGCACCTTCTGCGAGAGGTGCTGAGCCCTCCCGCACTGCAAGGAAGTGCTCAGCCACCTACAAGGATTACCAGGGGGGGACTGCAAATGCAAACTCTTGGGTGACTTTCTGCCTGGATTTTCTACAACACCTGGAGCTGTACTTTCTTAAACTTCTGGTGCACGGCTGCAGCACACTGAACTGTCACTGTGTACGTGATAGGAGGACTCAGCCTGTACTAAGAAGGAACTCCTAAAATTGGTAAAGCTCTTTGGCAAGAGGGCTAGACCTCATCCTTGGTTCCTTCTGCAAATTCAGCATGGCTAGATGACAAACGGTAACTTACCCACAAGAGCCACAGCAAACTAAAAATACCTGTACTGCCTGAGCACATGCACGTGAAATCGCTGCATTGTAATTGGGAAGCTCAATGACCTGAACCAAGACAATACAGCGGTGTCATTCCAATGCATGAAATAATCTTGAGTATGCATATATATGTGTATATATATAAACATATATATACACATATACATGCAGGACAGACTAGCCCTACCAGTCCCCTGCCAGCATCGGGCTGTCCCACAACTTCACAGCTACAGCATGGTCCTATCCAGACAATCATTACTCCATACTGAATGCTGAATTGATAAATTATTAAGTAATGATCATGCAAAGCACTGACTGAAATCACAAAAGATTTATGGACATTTTCAAGCTCTTTAAATTTGTGAGGATCCCACGTGGAGGAGGTTAAAATTGCCATTGTAAGAATCTGATATTTGTCAACATTTCTTCGTAGAACTACTATTGTGCAAGATTGAGCCACTCACAGCCTGACAAGTGAACTTGGAGAGCTGCAGGAACAAGGACACGTGCAGCAATCTCATTACTGTGTAATTTAACGATGGCAGTAATGGGACTGGAGGCTGCAGGCTGTGTGAAGGTCACCTAAAACCCAAAAGTTCCTTGGAAATAACAAATGCTGAAAGCTCCAAAGTTAATCAGTCACCTTATGTGGGATCCTCCGTGGGCACCGCTTTTACAGCACTTCCTTTATGTTCTTGATACTTTATGAGAGGATAGCACAATTGTTCATAAAAATGCATCTGAGGCTCATACAGAGTCTTGCTGAGGGACTCAACACACTGCACTTGCCCACTAGCAAAGCTACTTTCCGCTCCTGGAGTCTGTCTGGATAACCATGTAACCATCCCTGCAGTAGCCAAAGCACTCTTAACTCGTTTCTGACCTACATTCATCCCATCTGCAGACACGAGGACGCTGGACACAGGAGCCAGAAGGGCTGAGGCCCCGGGCAGAGGAGGAAGGGTGATGTGCAGCAGGGATGCTCAGTTCATCTGCTGCCTCCACCCAGGCAGTGCTGCACGGTCAGGGCTCCCCTGTGACTCGGGGCATCTGCTGCACACAAACATCAGACCTCATTCACAGCTGAGCTGCAGAACGCCCTGAAATGAAAGACAATTCCACTATATAAGCAATGCTAGAAATACCCTTTTGAAGGAAAAAAAAAAAAAAAAAAAAAAAGGCTGCTAAAAGAATGGAGAAAAAGAAATTCAGTTCTCATTGCAAATGAGGTCTCAAAATGACTGGCATCAGAGTGTCTTGGTCTTGCATCAAAATAAGCAGTATCCTACCCCTGTGGTACCCAGCACCATGCCAAAACACAGAGCTGCACACCTCACAAACAACACTGCTTCTCCATCCCCTCTTCTTCACATTTGCACTCACACACAGAAAATAGATTTGCTCCCCTTGCAATGGCACTTTCTCTGGGGAGAAAGGAAGAAAGCCACACAGCAATGTTTACCCTGGGTTTGCTACAGAAACGCACGGGAATGCCTGGAGAAGCTGAGTGAACTTCCAGAAAGCAGTACTCAGTCATCACACCTGAAAGCTATTCCAGTCCTTGGTAGCTGGGACTCC